TAGAAAGAAAAAAATATACATATATATATATTAAAAAAAAAAAAATAGAAAATCATATTTTTATAGAATTAATTAAGTATTTGAAGTTCGTATTAATATCAGGATCAATGTGAAAAAGGTAATAAAACGAAATAAAACGAACAACATTGTTTCCAAGTAAATATATTTGTTCTGTCGTGAAGGGCATTAAAAAAATATGTACATTTCTCTCGAAATAAATTATACTCCAAAATTTTCTCGATCTTCCACACATAATTGTCTTGACAAAAATATTTTTGAATCTATTTCCCTCATACTGACAACTAGATTAATTATGTAAGGCAATAAACTTTTTTTTTTAAATGTAACATGATTTTTGCTCGGCACAATAGCCTCTACAGTACATTAATATTTTAGTAATTTCCTAATCGATATATGCAGTTCGATAAGTTGATAATCGCCAGAACATAGTATTGATAAAATATTTTTATAAAACACATAAATGTCTGTTTTCTTCCAATACAAATTCGAAGATGTAAAAATGTCAAAGATATATATGCAGTGTCACGCTACATTCGCATACGGCATGTATTTTGTTACAAAATCAAAGAAAGAAATCCTCGGTCATGTATATAACTCGCATAGGATACACAGTGTCAAATCCTGTCAGATTATATCTTGTCTAAACTATTTTTTTTGTTCTTTTTTTCCTTTAAGGTAGGAAGTAAATTGGATGCACGTTGCATCGGACGTGCAAAGGCAGCCAGCTGCCAAAAAGTATGCGTGTCTTCAGCACCTCGTTACGATTGTAAGAATTAGCTCTGTCGTGCTACAAACGTCGTTGTTATCACGTGCGAGGCAATTTTCCTTTCCTTCGGAATCGTTCTTCTAGATATCCTGGGATCTGAAAATAGTTTCACAAGGACCGTTACATCGTTTTCCATAATAGTCCCCACAGACAATATAGTAAGCGACAGCTACTACATCTACTACACCTAGGATAACAGAGAAATGAATAAAGTAATTGGCACACAGATTATTAAGCAGGTTTTAATGATCAAATCTTATGGTCACGTCGTACCGCTAAAACGAACGTATCAATATACACATCTTCAGATCACAACACAATTACAAAAAATTTTTTTTTAATTTCACAACACTTATTCGCTATGACGATTTA